GGAAAGGTTCACACATTCATATCAGCGACAGAATCATGGTTGTTGAAAGAAAATGAAGGACTGGATATAATGCTGCTTTGAAAAGTTGTTCATGTTCACTTATATCACAGTATGCTAGCTTAGTCTTACACATTTTGGAAAAACCCATAAGCTTGGGTATTTTGGTGACAAACTGAGAATCATAATGTTAGATTCAAACCTATGATTAGAGAAATTGTAGCATCACAGATTAGATGGGTGTACGACGCCAATCAACATAAATACACAGCCTGATGTGGTACGACACAAGGTTATGTCATAAAAACCTGCTATTTGTAAGTGAGCTGATAAGATATGTGTGCACACTGTAGCCTGGAAATACCACATGACCTGCCAAGTAATAGATACAGGACGAGCGTCAGAACACTATCAAGATCGTAACGTATTGTTACAGGAACAAAGGGCGAACGAAGCTGATAACGTTCTTACACGAGTTTATTTATGTATATCAAGTAATCAAGTTGCACGAACTAAAAACTGCCGATTGACCCATCACAGACGCCCAATTACATCCACAGCAGATTACACGATTTCATCTATAACTGTATATTATATCTGTAACTACTCCAACATGCCCGTATCATTCTGTATCAAGCGCTTCTCACTTGTCATGTGACTGTCAGGGTTCTCAAGTATCATGAAGTATGAGAATGTTGTGCCTATATACGTTATCAGCATATACAGTAGTTCACATGATGACAAAATAGAGACCACCCATAAGTCCATAGTGTTTGCTTGTGCTCAAACACACACTAACGTGCTTAACATTAATCTAATTATGAATCTGGAAAGGCATAATAAGTTCTTCATGTGAGTGCATATAACATTATGCATTCATATTACTCGGAGACCAGGCTGAGAACTCTGCATCATTTTTACCACAGCGAGGAGACAGTGTTGATAGCCTTGGCATTCTGTACCGTTTTGGTATCGGCAACTTAAGTCAACAGAAATCAGTTAATATGTATTACCACTGGCCAACCAAGGTAATAAACTTAACTCTCAGTTTAGAGAGTTTTACTTGGGTCAGCAAAGATTCGTCTTGAATTTGGAATCGTAAGTAGAATATTGACTGCCGAAGTACAGATCCACACTGTCAGAGTCTGGCATAGTGGCAGGTAAGATCATACTGTGACCATACAATTTTGTACTATGGCCAACACCAAATGACCCAACAATATTTTCAATAAACGTTTTGAAGGCTATTTATTCAATCCCTAAGACGAGTAACTGATAAAACGTTAGTTTAAGGGATTCCCATTTAAACATTTTTGGCTACATTAGACATTTTGGACTTTGACTTTGACTTTAAAGTTCCTGCCTTCTAAAAACATAGCTAAAATCGGGGGAGTGAGTTTAGTTTTACGCCGAACTCATAATATTCCAGGTATATGGCGGGTGGTCTGTAAATTATCGAGTCTGGATCAGACAATTCAGTGATCACCAGCATGAGCATCGATCTACGCAATTGGGATACGATGACCAAGTCAGCGAACCTGACCTGCCGATACCGTTAGTCGCCTCTTACGACAAGCATGGGTTACTGAAGATGAATTCTAACCCGGATCTTCACGGGTGAAAAAGAAATCAGGCATGCGGTCTGACTCTTGCATAATGCCATACAGAGAGAGATATCTTCCAAATCGCCTGGGCCAAGAATGGGTAGATGAAAGCAGTGGAATGCCAATGACGCTTTCTTTCAAGGCGCGTCTAGTTCAGATCCGAGGCCTGAATCTCAGAGATGCGTGAAACTGAAGCGAGAACTTTTTTCCAGGGGAGATCAGGTGACTGAGAACCACAGAAAGGTGCCTAGACTAAGGCATAGTCTCTGAATTTATATACACTCAGCAACAAACGTTCTTGTTGCCCATGCTTGCCCATGCTTCTTGTAACCCATGCTTGTCGTAAGAGGCCATTCAAAGTGATCTAGCAGAATAATACGAAACCAAATGCAAGACAAATACATTTAATGTACAGAACAGACATCTGGCCTGTGAATGTTAATCATACTCTTGCATTAGACACGTTTGTAAATGATAAGATGGCCATGTGAATGTTGTCAGGCTAAAAACTCAGTTTACACTCTAATACTGGGTATGACCACCAGTGGTGGACGGCCACTGCGGGGATTGTCTCTGACGTGATTGGTTTGCTGATCCCGATGCCAGAAGTCCCGTACAGTGTTCCCATGGACATTAAATCAACGAGCAACTTCCCGTTGTGCGGTTCCGGCTTGGAGCATACCAAGTGCTTGCCACCGTTCATTTTCAGAAAGCCTTGGCATCAGAAGGTTTTCTTCTGGTTCAAAATTAGTTACAAACAAAACCCATTTAAATTGAAAAGATCCCAAGGGACACCAGATACTCAGAACCTGGGGAAATCTAGACTTGCTTCGTTTAAGAATTTAGCATTGCAGCGAGGGCTAAGTAGTTGGGAAAATAATGTGTTTCAGGGACTGTGAGACAGTCTAAAAGGTCCCGAGCTGGAGTTCTAAATTTGGCAGACTGGTCAGTAGGCTTGTTGGATCGAAGTTGACACTGAAGTTCAGGAACTGCAGGAATTATGTTTTCTTTGGCCGCAGCCAGGACAGAGTTGATGGTTGAGAGATAATCAGAAAGAAGACAAGTTTTCCTGAAAATATGACGAAGGTGTAAGTAATTAGCAAAAATGGGTACCGAAAGTGTAGTCGGTAGGCAGGGGAAATACCCGCACTTGCAGTACTCCTTGAACGTCTTGATAGAGCGTATAAAGGATGTGCGAAGTGAATAGGTTTAGCAACAATCTTGGACTAACTCCATGGCTATGAGAGATTTCTGAAGATACACCAACCATGTATGCAGAGTCTTTGGATGTCAGTCGAGGAGGTTGGATTATGGCTGGATCAACTGATAGTCACTTGATGGTAAAGACAGAGGATTGTGGGACATGTGTGATTTACGAAACACATCCCGAAGGGCACGACCAAGATCGGATGAATTCGTTTGGTTGACTGGAGTTTGTGTAGAACCTGAGCAAGAGCCTGAAGGAACGAATAATTTGGACTGCCAAATAATGTATACAAATACATTACAAAAACTTCCCATGGGGCTCTTGTGTTATCGTGAAATATTCTTTGACTTTAGGGAGGCTGTCTGCACTTATCAGGGACAAAGAAGAGAATTAATTCAGTGGGAAGTCGAGCAAGGTAAGACGCACATTGTTCGAGGGCCTACTAACGACAACCAGGACAGGGTTGTATTAGTGTGAGGTGGTGGTAAAATCTGGAAACGTTTTGTTCAGCAGGGAGATACGGATTCGGGGAAGTGCCTCTTTGACTGATAACAACAACGAGTCTGGAAGCGTGTTGCTCAGTAGCGAGTCGCGTTTTCAGACAAGGCAAGACAAGGCCGGGTTGCAAACCTAAACAAACCCACATGGGTTTCCAATTAGTTTCCCATTGGCTACCCATCAGCAGTGTAGATGTTATCTGCCCATGAGTAACAGGACTGTACCGACTATGGGTGTCTGGCAAGAGCCTGGCGATGTCAAAGATTAACCTATGAATTTACTACTAAATGAACATGTGCCTTATAGTTAACGTCCGACAACCCTTTCACAACATATTTTGATGTATAAAGAGAATAATTTGATTAGCATGTATGGAATTTCAATATTTACTTATTTTCTGAAAATAATAATAATGATAATAATAATAAGTCCATTTGTATAGCGCCCTATATCCAATCACCAACTGGTTGCCCATGGCGCTAACTATATACATATTTACAATAGGAGTTCATTTAGAAGTCATAGTGCTTCTTGAACAGGAAAGTTTTTAGGTTAGACTGGAAGCTGGCTATTGAGGGGGATTCTTTGAGAGACACGTGCAGATTGTTCCAGAGGATAGCTGACAAGTAGGAAAAACGTCGGTGACCATATGTCTTCAGACGTGCATTTGGGATGATGAGCAGCGACTGATTGGCTGATCTCAGAGTCCTGGTTGGAACATACTCCCTTACAAGACTAGAGAGATATGATGGAGTTGCGTTGTTAAGACATCTGTAAGTAAAATCTTCAACATGGTGATGTCAGCATAAAATAGGTGTACGGCCTAACCTAGCACAGCATGGAGTCAGAGGAGTGGGGAGGGGATAATTTTATCAGTCTCCCTGAAATATGAAACCCTGAATGAAACTTTCAGCCAACTCACAGGCTTGTTTCTATGGAAACGCACCTCCCCTGGCCACCTCATTGATACAGTGGGAAATTCAAATCTGGATTTGAAAAGAAAAAATCAAACTATATCTCTTTTAGTCTGTCTGCATACATACATTTTACAGTGAACCTTCATAACATACTTCTTTACACTATGGCTTAATTTCATTATGAACAGGTAAGTCAATTTTGTGATACTTCATGGAATGTACTTGAATACTGCATTGCTGTGCATTGAAAGACATCTTTAACAAGGCAATGAGGCCACACCTATCTTTGTATAGGTGTGAACCCTGGCCTTTAACTGTACTACCAAATTCATAGTTCTACTCTTACTCCAAATGCATGCATATAATGGAGAAGATAACCTTCTCACTTTTTCCCCTGTCTCCCCTTCCCCACACCCCGACCCCACCTATTGCCTTTCTTTTTAACTACAAACATTAACCATTATTTATTTATACTTCTTGCTGTCAGTTTAGTCATACTTACAATTATCTCATGCCCTCATTTATTAATTGCTGTTGATCACTGAATTGCTTTGTTTAGGCTCGATTATTTTCGAACAAACAAGCAAAAATCATCGTCACCACCATTAACTTTCAACCCTAACTAATTTTATGGGTCACGTTACGTAACTGGACAAAACACTGAAATGGTAATGGCTGCAAGTTTTACAAGAATTGTGAATACACCCTATATTCACAGACAGAAACTTAACTTGAAATACGTTTCGCCACCTAGCCTATGAACTTCTGTTCTACTACGGGCGACGGGGTATCCTGGTGGTGAATGCTGAGGAAGACCCGGGTTCCATTCCCCACATGGGTACAATGCGTGAAGCCCATTTCTGGTGTGACATTGCTAGAATATTACTAGCAAAAACGACATAAAACCAGACTCACTTACTCACACACTCAATATTCTAAGAATCGACTAACCGGATATTGTGGTCATTTTCGCAAATTTGATTGATGTTTGTCAACATATACTGACTGCTTTGGTGGACGCTGGAGATGTCAGTCAATGGACTGACTGGTCCAAATTCAATTATAGGCATACCGGTGTCATAAAGTTGGAATTTAGTGTCGCATAGAGCATTGTATACGTATAGCAGGGAATATCGATGTGTGTGTTGTAGTCCAGAGAGTGCGTGCGGGAGTGCGTGCGTGCATGATTGAGTAGGAGTGCGTTCGTGCATGCGTGAGTGAGTGACTGACCGAGTATCAGTTATTGACCGAGTGACGGAGTTACTGTGCGAGTGAGTGAGTGTGTGAGTAACTTAGTGACTGAGCGAGTAACTGACTGAGTGATTGATTGAGTGACTGACTGAGTGATTGACTGATTGACTGAGTGACTGGGTGACTGAGTAACTGAGTGAGTGACTTAGTGACTGAGTGATTGAGTGACTGCGCGAGTGACTAACTGAGTAACTGGATGACTGATTGAGTGACTGACTGAGTGACTAAGCAATTGAGTGAGTGAGTGAGTGAGTTACTGACTGATTGAGTGACTGACTGAGTGACTAAGCAATTGAGTGAGTGAGTGAGTGAGTTACTGACTGAGTGAGTGAGTGAGTGAGTGAGTGACTGACTGACTGACTGACTGATTGACTGACTGACTGACTGACTGACTGACTGACTGACTGACTGACTGACTGACTGAGTGACTGGGTGACTGAGCGAGTGATTGACTGAGTGGCTGAGTGACTGAGCGAGTGACTGGGTCATTGATTTCGTAACTGACTGAGTGACTGAGTAACTGAGCGAGTAACTGACTGAGTGAGTACAGTGTATGAAATAAGCCAAAATCCAACCAGACATCAGGGCTGGTAACTTTAAAATGTTTCCAGCCCAAAATGGAATCAACCAGACCACATATGGTGAAGATGCATGGAAAATCTAATTTTTTTACGAGACCCTCGGGCTGGCTATCTGTAAATTTAGACCGTGCGTCAGAAATCTAGACCGTCTCGGGCGGTCGGACGGGCCTTATTTCATAAACTGCTGAGTGACTGAGAAATATGCCAATGTCGTAGTTTGACAGCTGATACATGCTGGACCAGATCTACACAGTATGTGTCAGGGGGTAGACATATAACTGGAACGCCGTGTGGGTTGGTTAAACATTAGTGGTATACACGTACGAGTTCACATTTACACTTGACTCCAAGTCTCAGTATAGCAGACAGCTCCCCATTGCCCTCGACGGAATCTTAAAGAACACATATCAATACAATCCTAACAATATTACAATACTGTTTTGCAATACATAAGCCTATAACGTAATAGTCCTTTTGAAATCGGTAGTTTCTTATCGAAAGACTAGATACTATGTGACGGGAAATGTGTCTATAAAATATAATTAACAGAAGAAACGATATTTAAACTACAACTAGAAATAATACAATATGCAGGATGTATAAGAGGAGTGCCTCTGTTTTGCGGGGCGTTGTCATTCTTGAAAGGCAGAGTGTTATGATACTGAGGGGTGTTATGTTTTAACTCGTTTACCATCAACCACATAATATTGCAATGGGGTGTGTCCCAATCGACTTCAAATGCGTAAAGATCCGGGTTAGAATGCGTCTTCAGTAACTGATGCTTGTCGTATGAGGCGACTAACGAAATCGGGTGATCAGGCTTGCTTACTAGGTTGACACTTGTCATCGTATCCCAGTTGCGTAGATCGATGCTCATGATGTTGATCACTAGGTTGTCTGGTCCACATTATTTACAGACCGTCGCCATATAGCTGGAATGTAGCCGAGAGCAGCATTAACAACAAACAAATATGTGTCCGTCAGTACATGCAGAATAGGTAAATCACCGGGTTGACTCAAACTCAAACGATCATAAATTGTATATCAACAACCACATAATACTACATATGGGTCCACGACGACTTCAAGTACTGTTCTGGGGCAGAATCTCTCTAGAGTGAAGTGATCTTGGAATTGATGCATTCTGAAGTAAAGCTATCATAGGATGCCATGTTTCATGTTGGAGAGACAGCAGTCAAATGATAACATAGCAACTAAAAGAAAACACACCTCGTTATTCTGAAAATATCCACAAGATGACTAGTATGAATGCGCACAAGCGCACCAAGCCATCCTGTGAAGGGAAGTATGTTGCCACAGGTTCAATTGTATCCATTGCGTGAATATAAAGCTGCAGTTGTGCAGCCTGACAAAATAGGTTAAGTTTAAGTAGGTTAAGTTGTTAATGTGTTTGTTTTTTCAGCCTGTTATGGAAGACAAGAGAGGTGTTTTGGGGTTTGTTTGTTTTTTTGTGGACACAATTCAACTACACACAAGCATTAGACAGTTTTGTCACCCTGACCTTCACTTGCAATAATCACAAAACAAACATGACTGGTCTGCAGTGTGAAGCCATGTGAACGGGAGGACAAGTCCTTAGAAGTTATTTATAAACGGAAATCACCTGATCAAGAGCTGACACGATCCGTTCAATTGGCATTTTAGAAGTTGGTCAGTAACAAGAATATTATGATGAGACGTTGCAGTGCTACAAGAGTGAAATACTACAGCACAGGACAGACTAATATATTAAGTTGGATTTAACAAAAACAACACGATGGTATGCAGGAAAGGGATCGATAACTCAAACAATTCCCTACCTTTGCTAAATATATAAGTGGGCCAGGTTGTCACGTCAGTGTATTTTTATATGAATAATATGTATACTTAACATAACTGTAAACCTGTCAACAATGGACAGTGTAATAACAAGACGATCCCGCATGATGGCCTAAAACATTCAAACATGGCTATTCTTAACATTATACTGTAAAAGTGGGCAGGTCACAGCAGCCAAAGTGACGCTAACAACAAAATGACACTGAGTATTCAAAACCCATTATCAACGTCTACTGGCAATACTGTCTACTTTCATGAAGTGTTTGAATAGCCTCAACATGTGTATAGTTGAGACCATGCTACATTTCAAAGAGCATGGTACGAAATTCAGTGTGTTCCCCAATGTCAAGAAAGATAATGCTGGTTGTACCACTGGGGCAAGTCAGCTCGGAATACATTCTTCTTTCAAATGGTAGCATTATGATGACTGAAGTACGATTTCTATTGGACAAGGATATTTCAATTTCATTTGAAATGGTCCTGAAAACTTTATTTCCAATTAAAGCCCATAGCCCAACTGACATAACTAGAAACTTGAAACATCTGGTAAGTGCGACCATAAATGTCTTTCTGTTGAAATTTCAATTCAGTCGGTCTCTCGCATGACGACTAGCTACATGACGACTGTGGACGCTTTACATGCTTTGCAAATAATGGTAGTAGTGTTGTAGATTATGTGTTATGCTTAGAAAAAACATTTTTGTTATTTGATAATTTTGATGTTATTTACAACGAGGTAGAAAGCACCCATATGCCCTTGGCCTATTCATTGAGACTGTCAAAGCCTCTTGGAGATGTAAACATTGCTCGGGGAGAACTGCAACCACGCTCAAGATATTCATGGAACCACAAGCAACAGGGATTATACTTAGACAATTGGAAACACCAAAGTACAACGCTTCTTCTGGATACCTTCAAACACCATATAAACTGTAATAACACTCATAACGCTTCTTTATGTTTTCAGGAAGTGATTCAACATTGTGCGTACCCGTTTAAGAGGCCGGGTAACGGTATTTCTACCCAGCCTGCTGTCAGTAGGGACAATAACAACAGCTGGTATGACAACGAGTGCCGTGCTGCACGTGCAGCAGCGAGACGATCACTTCGTGAACTACGTAACTCTAACACTGAAATGAACAGACATAAATACCGTGAATCATTTAAGTTATATAAGGAAACGTGTAAGCAGAAGTCAGCGAATGTGTTTAGACACTTTGTACAAACTTTGAATGATGCCTTAACCTCCAAAGACAGTAAACTGTTCTGGTCACATTTTAAGTCCTATAATTTCAAGCGTAATAGTATTTCACCCTCAGGCTGGACTGAACATTTTTATTCTTTATTTCAAGGAACGAACATGGCAGATTGTGAAAAAGAATTTTATGCTTCTGTGTTTGAATTTATCGATTCTATTGATGATGAACTCATGGACAGTACAGTTGATAATGACTATCTGGATAAGGACATTGCGTTTGAAGAAATCGTTACAGCTATAAATGATATGCAGCTAGGGAAATCCCCAGGGTTTAGTGGAATACCCCTGGAGTTTTACAAATATGCTCCACCTGAGTGTTATGAAATGCTAAGATTGTTGTTTAATTCAATTCTCCAGACAGGTGTTTACCCTACAGAGTGGACGTTGGGAGTTATACTTCCCTATATATAAGAAGGGTGATCCCAATGAGCCGGGTAATTATAGACCAATTACACTCCTTGAGGTGTCAGGAAAGATATTTTCTAAAATTATTTGCAATAGGTTAACACTTTGGGCCACTCAAGAAAATATTTTAGCTCCGGAGCAGGCTGGATTCAGAAAAGGTTTTCAAACTACAGATAATATTTTCATTTTGAATACTGTAATAAACAAATACTTGTCATTGTATAAGGGCAGACTATACTGTGCTTTTATAGATTTAAAATCTGCGTTTGACTCGGTTACACATACTGGTCTTTTGTACAAATTATGGATTGGTAACATTAAGGGTCGTATTTTCAAATTTATAAGAAATATGTATGCTAATATAAAATCTTGTGTCCTTGTTGGGAATGGTTGTACTGAGTTCTTTGATTGCAACTTTGGAGTCCGGCAAGGTTGTCAGTTGTCTCCCTTTTTGTTTTCGTTTTTTATAAATGACATAGCCGAGTTTGTAGGACAGGACAATCAATGGTCTATTAGTATCGGTATGCTGCAAGTGTTTAT